AGAGAGGTCTTAGAAAAAGCCCTGGATAGTATGGTGACCCGTTATGGTGACCCGTCCAATCGTGTCTCCACCGGTACAATATATTAGCGGCAAGATACACAGCCTGTAAAATAATGCGCGCAGTTTTGACTCATCCGTTGTTCACTCTTTAAACCTAATACGTAGAAAGCTTTTTTAATACCGTGCAATGTTGTAATTAAAGAAACAAAGACTTCTTTCCTCTATTAATTGTCTTCTCTCTTTCTATCCTGGAAATCTCTAATGTTTTCCCCGAAAAAATGGCTCCGAAACGTGCATATACCTGCCTAGCGATTCCCCGCCACTAGAGCCAACGAGGAGTCTCATACCTAAAATTCCTCAAAAACAGTCTCAGTCAAAATGGTTGGGACACTTTGGGGTCTCCTTGTCCCCTCAATGTTGGTGTACAAGATTTTGTGACCAAACCGTGATAAACAACTTTGAGAGGGATGAGGGGAGCACCAGCAGGGAAAAAACAGCGTTTGGTTAAAGTGTCCCAACTATTTTTGTCTGGGACTGTAGATCTGAGAAGTGACTCTAAAAGATAAAATGCAAAATGATAAACTCTTGGAATCCATTTAACGCTGTTTGAAGTATTGCTGCCGATCTACAAGCACGCCGATTTAAAGGTCATTAAACGCATTGAAAAATTGCGAGAAGAATTAAGTTTAGTGTAAAGGCCTTCGTAGCGGTTCTTCGGGTTGTTATGTGAAGGGCTCCTGTTATTGACCAAAATTCTCCTATTTCCGGCTGCCTAGAAGTTGTGTATGCCTCTAATCTGTTTGCTTTCAAATAAAAGACTAGTGAAAACAGTCAAAGTTTCAGAGACAACAATGGGTTAATATGATTTGAAACTTGATGGTCGAGTTTGTCGAACTGGTCGAGCGGCGAATCTGAATATATTGTCTTCTATTATACATGCATGTTATTTTTAATTCCCTTGTCTTACTTATCTGCATGTCACTAAAATCGCTTCTCGGTTTCTGTGAAGGCCTTGGCGCGCAGCTGGCGCACCCGTTAGATATAGTGTGTACTGGCGGTTTTCGGATGAAACAATTTCGAAAAGCGAGAACGAGATGGTGGAGATAAAAAGGATAAGTAATGACTTCAAATCTTTGATTGTAAAATGTGCCTAGTCTTACAGGACAATTAACCTCATGTTTTTCTCAACTGTAAATTGATGTCAAAAGGGGAAACAAACTTAAACATTTCCTGTGTAAGCTCATTTTTTCCTTCACTGGTCAAGAAAGAGTTTGACTAATGGTCGCGGGTCGCGGGTCGCGGGTCTAATGTCGCGGGTCGCGGGTCCAATGTCGCGGTCGCGGGTCCAATGTCGCGGTCGCGGGTCCAAAGTCGCGGTCGCGGGTCCAATGTCGCGGTCGCGGGTCCAATGTCGCGGCAGGGGAAAATGATTTGAAAACGACTGATATGAAAACAATATGAAGGGAAAAAATCTTTTTTATGCGCGATACTCTACGGTAGCCAATTTACAGGTTACGGATGTTAGAGTCAACAAAACAATGTCTCAAGAAAAGACCTAAAAGAAAAAGCTGGCCGACTTTTGTGTTCACCGCAAGTTTATTTTGTTTTCTTTCTGTCGGGCCCAGTTAAGTGTAAATTCAGCTTTGAATATACTTATGTATAACAGTATCTGATAAAAAATGTTACCATGAGTAACCATTGTTTTCTTCTTGTCTATGAATTGCTCACAAATTCTTAGGGGTGCATTCACTGAAAAATGTGCGATACACTTCATAGACTATAAATTATAAACGTTTCAACAACTTAAAACCTTTTTTTAAAAAAGGCTAACTCGGGCTCGAAAAGCTACGAGTCTGTCGGTAGAAGAAACGGGAACTGTTTCAATTTTAACAAATGTTTTCGGCAAAAATAAAGAAAACGCTTGTTGAAAAACTTCCTGGTCGCTGTTACGAAAAATTGTATTGCGTGACTAGTGTGACTTTCTAGAAGCTTCGCGAGAGTTCATAATTTGTTTATTTTAGGATCTTGTGTAAGCGTTTCTAAAACAGGGGCACCCAACGACCGTTTTCGGGGAAATATCTGTTCGGAGCCCTCTAGAATGGCTAAAATTTTCGGGAGCCCAAGAACAGCTAAAAATTTCGAAAATGTTTCGTGGTGACTGTTCGTTGGGCTCAGAGTTTCGGGATTTGTGTGGTTTGTTCACCTGAGAATTTCGGATTTTGTAGTAATCTCTAGATCACCTAGAAATTTCGTAGCTTTCGTAGTAATCTTTAGATTCTGATTTCGGCGCCTAGAAATTTCGTAGCTTTCGTAAAGTAAGAATAGAGCAAAATTTTTAAACCCGGCTGACAGTCTCATTAGCGAAAATTTCGACCGTTTTCTGAGGGTACCAGGCTTACCGGTTACCCGTACGCGAGCGCTATATCAGCGCGCGCATCGCGTGAATAGAATTAGACGTTTCAACTGGCTTTAAAATCACGTAAATGCCTTTTCTTTTACACCTAGAATTTTCTATACATTCTACGTCGCCCTAGAAAATTCGGAGACATTCTCACACTAGATAAAGTTTTCGGAGAAAACTTGAAAGGACCCCTAAAAATTTCGGTCAAGGGAAAGCTCGTCAGGTAATCTTACGTTTTCGGAAAGCTTTCACTGTAGGCTGTTATTTTCGGGAAAGCCGAAAAACAGCCCTAAAAAATTCGAGAGTGTCAAACCACTCCTAGGACGACCGAACAGATCAAATTTTTTTAGCGATGCGAATTATTCATTTATATTGCTTTTAAAGCACTACAGGATGCATAACGAGCCATTTCAGATCATTTCCCAGAAAACGGTCGTTGGGTGCCCCTGCTAAAAGCGGTATATTTTGTAATCTTTCTATAATTAGACTATTTGGAAAGTTCTAGAATCTTATTGTAAACGTATATAAGGTAGGCGAGCCCGAGTTAAGTTTCAACTAGTTTTCACAAGCGAAGAGAGTTTGACGTTGGTCGTGTTTAGTCAAGTGTGACGAAGGCAGTGTTTATTCAAGTTGGAGGAGGCCGTGTAAGTTTAACGAGTTACGTGCTGTTGTGGAGTTTTACTCTGTGGAAACTACGTTCATCTTTGGAATGAATCTTCTTGTTGCTGTTCCGACAACCCTGCGTTCAGTTTAGTTTGCAAGCTACCCGTCATCTAAAAGATTACCCGCGTAACAGTCGCAAACTCCCAAAATAAACTCTTTGCACAAGTAACTGGAAAGCCGAGGAGAGACGTTGGGCTTGAAGTGCCAGTAAAGTACATTCAAGCGGGTATTCAAGGCATGACTTTAATAAAAAAAACAAGTAATAATCCACAGCAAGAGGGGATAAAGCTCGAGCTTTATCCTCTCTTGTCCACAGAAAGGAGTTTGTTCCCAATAACGATTGAAATCCGGAATCCAAGTTCTACCAAGAGAGAATAGATCATAGTCTCTTGGTTCTACTGACAAAGACTTGAATCCAGTACCTGGAATCTGGAATTACTTACCTAATTTATTGTCTTTTCTTAGCTCTGGTGGAGTTGATAACTTACCGTTTTCAGTGTCCGGTTTACTTTCTTTTTCAGCTTCATGATATCGGGCGTTATTATTTCCTTACCTACTTACTCACTTAGTTATTTACGATGCATGTTTTCAAGATTTGACTGAGACGCACATTGAATGGCTTCCTATTGTCAGGTTGTCCTGGTTGCCATTTAGGTGAAGAGAACAAGAAGACAATCAATCAATCAACAACTTTATTTAAGTGTCTAGTCTTCTAGCTTGCCGTTAGGCCTACTAATCGGCGAAGAAGTTATATTGAACTCTCTGGGTTGCCGTCTCAGTTGTAAAAAGAAAAGCATTAAGCGAAAATCTTGCTTCGAGGAACAGACTCCTTTCTGTGGATTATTACTTGTTTCCATATTAAATTCATGCCTTGAATACCGCTTGAATGAAGTTTCATGCGCCTATTTACATTTTCTTTCAGTTTTGCCGAAAACATTTGTTAAATATAAGAGTTCTCGTTTCTTCTACCGACAGACTCGTGCTCTTTTTGAGCCCGAGTTCGCTTTTTTTAAAAAAAGGCTTTAAGTTGTTGTAACGTTTATAATCTGTAGTCTATGAAGTGTATCGCATATTTTTCAATAATTGAACCCTTAAGCATTTGTGAGCAATTCATCGACAAGAAGAAAGCAACGGTAACTTATGGTAACTTTTTTTATCAGATACTGTTATGCATAAGTATATTCAAGGCTGAATTTACACATAACTGGGCCCGACAGAAAGAAAAAAAAATAAACTTGCGCTGAACACAAAAGTCGGCCAGCTTTTTCTTTTAGGTCTTTTCTTGAGACATTATTTTGTTGACTCTAACATCCGTAACTTGTAAATTGGCTACCGTAGAGTACTGTGCATAAAAAAGATTTTTTCCCTTTATATTGTATTCATACGATGGCCCAGGTACGATGGCCCAGGAGGGTCACAGTCCAGTATTGGTTTTTGACAGTCCAGTTATGGTTTTACACAGTCTAGTTTTAGTTTTTACACAGTCCAGTTTTAATTTTTACACACTCCAGTTTTATTTTTTTACACAGTCCAGTTTTATTTTTACGCAGTCCAGTTTTATTTTTACACAGTCCAGTTTTATTTTTTTGCACAATCCAGTTTTATTTTTACACAGTCCAGTTTTATTCTTTTACGCAGTCCAGTTTTAATTTTTAGAGAGTCCAGTTTTATTTTTTTACACAGTTCAGTTTTATTTTTACACAGTCCAGTTTTATTTTTTTACACAGTCCAGTTTTATTTTTACACAGTCCAGTTTTATTTTTTACACAGTCCAGTTTTATTTTTTACACAGTCCAGTTTTATTTTTACACAGTCCAGTTTTATTTTTTAGACAGTCCAGTTTTATTTTTGTGTAGTTACCAGACCGCTTTCGCGCTGCAGCAACTGCTGTAACACGTGTTATCTCACGGCAGCCATTTTCTATTTCCTTGCGACGATGGATTCAATCATCAGGCAGGCTGTTCGAGAGGAACTGAGACGTTCGAGTTCTAGTCGTCCAGAAACTGCGTCTTCTACTAATCAAGATGATCAGAGAAGAAGTGAAAACGAATCAGGTGCGGCTGGATCATCACGAAGTTCGTTTTCATCACGAACAGTGGGCCGTTTGTCAGGGTTGCTGAACCGAATGAGGAAAGGTGGCGGAAAGGAAAGCTCTAGTAAAAAGCGGAAAGTAGTTAAAGAACACAGAATACAGGTGAGATGGTTACACTATGACCCGCCTAAAAAGGCCTTTGTTCCTGTTCGACAAAAAAACGGAGGTGGAAATCGCTTTATTGCATATACCAATGATGACCCTCCAAGCCTTGAGGAAATCATGGAGAAGGCTTCTGCGTTGTTTTTCCCGGGGGGAAAGAGTGTCTTTGCAGGCCACCTGGACGAAATGAACAGGTGGATTTGCGATACCACAGGAGTTGCTATTTTTGATTTCTTAGAGGGAGGAGGAGGAACAGTGGAAGACTACTTGAAGTCGAATGGTCTGTATCCATCATCGACCTATTTTTACCTTCGAACGCAACCCAGACACCTTTCTAATGACGAATTTGAAGATAGCCAGGGCATTCCACCCATGAAATTGGAGAGTGCTCCAACAGCTTGTTGTGCCACAGCATCAACTGCAACACATTCCACAAAAGATGTTGCCAGAGAAGTGTGCAAAACATGCAGCTGTACATATGAGAAGGGACAGACCTGTATCCGCTGTGAGCAAAACCATGAGTATGAGGAAAGCCTAAGGGCTGACTCAGTGGCTAACACTCCCACAGAAATTGAGAACTTAAGTGATGAGCTATCCTCCAATATTCAGCCTCCTTCTTTGGATGAAATTAGAGATCTTCGTATGGCTTATTATCAAAATAGCAGCCTGGTTCCACCAACACATGACTATACTGTTAACTGTAATTCTCGTGCGATAACAAGTCATAATGACAACATGTTTCAACCTACTGTTTCACCAAGTAACAGTGATATCACAATCAATTCTCTTCCTCAAGACATGCATTCAATACCGGGTACCTTTCAAGATGCTGACACAACAAGAGATCAAGATGAAAATGCAGGATCACAATTACGTGCACTTGAAATCCATCGTTCTTGTGTTTGTGCTGATATGATCAGATATTTTCAAGATGCAGACATCATGAACTCTGAATTGGTGTTCACAATTATTAATGAAAGGGGAGAACGTGAGGAAGGTGCGGGAATTGGCGTCAACAGAGAAGTCTTCTCCTTATTTTGGTCCGACTTTGCTGATTCAATGACAATAGGTGAAAGGGAAAGAGTTCCGTTTATACGTCATGACCATTTTATTAAAGAGTGGGGGGCCATCGGACGAATTCTGGTTAAGGGGTACATATCTGTGTCATACTTCCCAATGTTCCTTGCCAAGGGCTTCATTTGTTACTGTTTATTTGATACAGAGGTACCTGACAGCATTCTTCTGGACTCATTTATGAAGTATCTGTCACCCATTGAAGAAGAACTGGTCAGTGATTACCTACACAGAACAAACTTCCCTGATGAAAATGATGAGCTGTTTGATTTTCTTGAACGGTTTAACTGCAGAACAACAGTGAATGAGGGTAATTTGAGAAAGGTGCTCATAGAGATTGCAAATCAAGAATTGATTCAAAAACCCCATGTGATGATTGCAACTTGGCAACCAAGTGTTCAAATCCTGAAACAATATCCACAGTTTCAGAGCATTGCAGCAGTTCAGGCTCTATATGATACACTCAAACCAACAAACAAGAAAGTTCTTGAAAAACTAGTGGCCCAACCAAATACAGATGGAGAACGTGATGCTATGAAATTCTTGCAAAGATATATCAGGGGCTTAGACAATGCAAAACTCGTCCAGCTCCTGAGATTTACTACAGCATCTGATGTTATGATTAGCAACCAGATTGAAATTGCGTTCACAAAACTTGAGGGTGCTGCCTGTCGACCCATTTCACACACGTGTGGACCTCTGTTGGAACTACCCTCAACATACTCTAATTTTGTTGAGTTGAGGGAGCAATTTAACAACATTTTAAACAAAGGCAACTGGGAGATGGACATAATGTGACTGTGAGTGAAGAAACAATTAGCTCTTTGCATCTGTATATATAGATGTGTGTTTTATGTGCCATGCAGTGTAAGAAATGCAACATGCCAATTACTTTGCTCTGTATGGATTAAGAACATTTAAAGACTTTTGATACAACTGTGCATTTGATATTAATTACAGGTTGCCTTTTAGTCACAAGAGAGTTCTCACTGATTCACATATTTATTTTTATAATATTCATGTTGCCAAGTTAGTTGTGTAAATGTTTCATGTGATTATGAAATTCCTCAACTTTTCCTTACCCAAATATATGTGTCAAATGAAAATTCAGTGATGATAATAACTTGCTTTTTGATACTTCATGACTTCATGTCGCCATGATTAGAATCCCTAACAGATGGCTGTTGGGTGTAAGCTTGGTTGAACACTACAATGCACCTAGCTTACTGATTAGGAGTGCCTTTGTTTTTAAAGCAAGGATTATGTTCATGAAAAGAGGCTAGCAGCTCATTGCAGAAGCTTCCCACCAAAGTCAATGTTTTTGAGAACTTTTAAAGAATAGAATAGAGAGCATTTTCGTGGCTACCAAAATCTTAACAATAGCTGATTGTAACTAGGTGAACATAGAGCTGATGTAAGTATGCCTTTCATGTGAAAAATGTGATTTACAATTGCAGTTTACACTCCATGTTGAGGTGAGCAAACTGTTGACAAATTGATGATTTCTCCAAATTATGGTCATGCATTGAATCCATTTGGCCAAAATGTTTTCCTTTTTTTGCTGTTATAATTTTCACCACAAATTTTTTGGCTTCTTTGATTCGGTAGTATATATTTAAGAAGGTAAACAGTTTCCGTACATTGGTTTATTCAGTTGTTCCAGCTTAATCAAAAGTAGTATGACATGTTTGTTGCAGCTCTGGTGCTGTTTTTGCCAACTGAACACTGATGCTTTGTTAACAACGACATTGACCTGTACCTTGAAGTTGAGTTTTAAGTCTATTTTACAGCATAAATTCTTACAATAGGCTATTAGTGGCCAAAGTAAAATGTTATAATATTGTTGTGTTATCTCAACCCTCTGTTAGTGAAGGATACTTCAATACTTCACATGTTGGGTCTGGTTGATTTTGTTGATCAGTTAGTTACTTTATATGAAGTATGTTCTATACGTTCAATTCATATTCCTTTGATAGTAACATCTCTGGATGGTTTACTGGCCAATTGATGGCTTGATGCTTTCCCATGTGATAATTAGCTCGAACTTTAGTTGATAAAAAATTCAATGCCATGGAAACAAAGATTACTTTATCTACTGAGTTAGGAAGGGATAACTTTAAGGCAGCGACTTGGTACCAGTTATTTAAGGATTTGGTTAAGAGTTATTAGTCAGTCGTTGCACAAGAAGTTTTAAAATGTACCTTATTATTAAAGAATATTGAGATTTTCAACTGTAGTCCTGTTATCTTATTATCATACACTGAACAGCAGCTGATTTGTTATTCTTTTGTATATATGTTAATTACCCTCACTTGCCTCATTTTAGAGTAAACATTCTTTTCAGTTTTGATTTTTTTGGACTTACTAACCAGGCCAGTTAGGCTAATTAACATTCAAATACACGCTGTAGAAGAGTAATAAATTGGCTGCCGTATTTGCATTCAATGTATACTGTCAGCATTCTGATTGGACAGAAGGAGGTGCAGTCCTGATGTATCTATATAAAAGAGCAGAACATATACTTTGGAAATCTAAACCCTCGGATTAAGACCATCATCTTAAAATGAACTTACTTAAAATGAGCATTTATCCTAAAATTGCCAAAATTGATATTTTCGTACATGTCTTCCATATTAAAAATGGCTTGACCTCATTCTACTCATGACGGCATATCTTGTTACCTTAGCAACAGGTTGTCAATCAAACTTGACAAAACGTGTTCTGGAGATAATGAACAGCCACTGAGGACGGCGTCTTGGAAAATAGTAAGGAAGAGGGGGGGGGGGGGGGGGGGGGGGGCAGGGGTGTTGCTGAAAGCCTATTCACTACGTTAAGTTTTCAATCTCTTCAATAAGTCGCAGATATAGATCAAGTCCTTCATCAACATCTTGTGGTGAATGCAGTCCAAGTTCATTCATAATTGTTATAGCAAACTCCTCAAACTCTTCACTAAAATCAGCAGGACACATGGTTGAATTATCAATAAACTCTTCTACCTCATGGCGGTCAACGTTCACTTTGTAGTCTTCTGTGTTGTAAAGGTGGGGTAGGAAATACATACAATCAGGTCTTCCCCTGGGACCACTGCTGTTACCAAATTTGCTTGAGGCTATGTGATGGTGATTCCAGATTTCTGCTACTTGATAAAGCTCATCTCTCAATATTTGCATAAAGCAAAAAGTCTGACAAATCTTTAAAAAAATTAATCCACCAACCGGGACCATCTTTTACAAGTTGTGACCAATAAGCTTCAATTCTTTGGTTTGCTGTGGATCTGCCAAAAGCAAAACATCCCATGCCAGCATTCTCATCATTGTGGGCAGACCTAAGGTAAGTATGAATTGCCTCGATCACACTGTTTTCAGTTCCATCATCTGATCTGATCTTCCTAGGTACTCCACCTGACTGCTTCACAGCTTCGAGATAGTATTTAGCAATCACTTCTGGGTTTTTGTTTGTGGGACCCACCTCCAGCCAAATCAGCCGTCTTGAAAAACCATCTATGCATCCATGTACGCTGAAGCCATACGGTTTTAATTTGTCGTGGCCATCAATATGCCAAATGAAATTCGGTCCTTTTTGCGTGGTATGCTCGTCGACGCAGCCTCTTTTTTCGTCGGCTTTCTACGCCTTCAGGATCAAGTTCTCTGAGACACCTCATGACCATACTTCTTTTAGCAATAACTCCCTTCCTTCTGAGCCTTGCCCACATCTTACGGTATCCCACAAAACAACCACTTTTACCAAGTTCCTTCTCGATGGCGTCATTCAGTTCATGGTCAGATGCGGTGTCTCTTCTTGATAGTCCTAAAGATCGAAGACGTCTTTTCAGGGTTGATAAACTTATAGTTACGCCATGGATCTTCAAGAATTCAAGTATTTCAAGATTGTTGTAGCCTTGTTTAAAATACTGTGATATAAGTTCCAGCTCATTTTGGTCAGAGCTATCATGACAGCTCATGCATGGTGTATATTCCGGTAAAGGCATTTCCTAGCTTATTGAAGCTTAAATGTTTGGGGATTTGTTCGTTGGAATCAAAGATGGCGGAGAATTGAAATTCCCGCGGTTTTGGTAGATGATGAGAGAGATCTGGTAGCTAATCAGAAATAAAAACTGGACTGTGTAAAAAAATAAAACTGGACTCTCTAAAAATTAAAACTGGACTGTGTAAAAAAATAAAACTGGACTGTGTAAAAAAAAAAACTGGACTGTGTAAAAAAATAAAACTGGACTCTCTAAAAATTAAAACTGGACTGCGTAAAAAAATAAAACTGGACTGTGTAAAAACATAAAACTGGACTCTCTAAAAATTAAAACTGGACTGCGTAAAAAAATAAAACTGGACTGTGTAAAAATAAAACTGGACTGTGTAAAAATAAAACTGGACTGTGTAAAAAAATAAAACTGGACTGCGTAAAAATAAAACTGGACTGTGTAAAAAAATAAAACTGGAGTGTGTAAAAATTAAAACTGGACTGTGTAAAAACTAAAACTAGACTGTGTAAAACCATAACTGGACTGTGTAAAACCATAACTGGACTGTCAAAAACCAATACTGGACTGTGACCCTCCTGGGCCACCGTAGGTGTCGTTTCTTTATTTTGCTTTTAATTATATTTACAGTGGCTTTTATACTGAATCCTGAGCTGTAATATTTTCTGATAATGCTTGACAAAGTCGACAAAACATTGAAAAAGCAAACAAAACAGCCAGCATGTATTACAACGAGTTTTAACAGCAATTCAAAATCCAACTCATTGTGTTCTTGAAAATTTGCATTTTTTCTATTCCAGAATATCATCCCTTCTTTGTTGTTGTTGTTTTTTTTATCTTGGATTTTAGCCCAGTTAATAATTAAAGTTTTTACTGTATTCTACTTCTACGCTGTGTTTGAAAGATTTTATCTCAATTCAAATGTGTAGTTGTACATGTAAATATATTTATTTCATTTATCCTAATGCTCAGTCAATTCCAAGCAAACCCATTCTCCCTGGGGATTTTTTGGCATTTTGTTCCTACAGTGGGCATTTTTCATTGACAAAAGCGTCATTGGGGTAGGAATTTTTCATTGTTTAATTAACCTACCCCCTTAAGGGGTACCATCTAAGCTTGTTCTTATGTATGTACTCTCTATATGCCATACTGTTTGCCAAGTCTGCCATGGAAAGTTTATCTTATAAAGTAATTTTGGGTTGTAAAGTTTTCCTCTTTGCAATGTCTTTGGGGTCTGTATGGATATCAGGAAAACTGTAAGGTTGCTGAGTTAAGTTGTTAAGTATGTTTACTGTGAGACTCACAAAACCGTGAACACCAGAAATATTTATGGAATGTTATTTTGTAACGAGAATCAGGCAATAAGGCACGAGATAGCTTACACACAAACAGCAATGGTAATTAGTTTGTGATTTTGAGTTTTGCTTGCATATTCCTGAACTTAATTGTGTTTGGCCAATACACAATCAACATTCCTGAAATTTTTCAGGTGTTCACTGTTTTTGGAGTTTGACAGTAACAATTTTCAGCTTTTTACAAGGTGACGTACATGTAACTTTTGCTTCGATACTGGGGCATTTGTTCCAATTTTTATTTCAATGGTGGGGTTTTGTATGCACCTACTGGTCCCACAGTGGGGGCAGGCATTTGCAGCTTTCGAATTAAAAAATGACAAATGCCTGTGGAGGGGGGTGGGCATGTTTAGAATTGACTGAGCCATAAAGAAGCTTATCTTCTGTAACCCTTTTACCTATACAGCCCTATCTGTTTTAGCAAGTTACATTATGATTTATTAACCCTCCCCATGTACCCTCACATTAAAACAATATACTTCTAGAACAGTAGTATGTTATACGGAGAATTCTTGTTTTTGTATTTGCTGTCTTACTTAACCCACACAAAGATTTGTTTTAAGTGTCTTTTTAGAATAGGCAGTCTTATAAATATACTGCAGAATTAAACAATGGCTGCACCAGGTCAAGTTTGAAATAGTATGTCTAAGCTGATTAACATTAGCTGAAAAACACAATATTCCATTGGTTTTCTCATCCTTATAGCTCTCATTGATATAGAAAGGAAACACTATGGAATAAGTTCTACATTCAAGAGATTAAAACTCAGCTTTTGAGTCCTAAATGCAGCATACACTTTCCTCTCTGTAATTTCAATACATATTCTAAGAAAAAGATAATAACAATAACAATTTAGTAGGAAATTACATGTATGCAATTGTTATATCATGTTAACCTGGATATCCTGATATTTCATACATCATATTGAAGTTGGATGTGACTCTGGACAAACACTGGCCTATTTATGATAACATTGTCTCTTGTCTAAATTTAATTTTACCCATATTCATCATCTGAGGTAGAGTAATATTTTTTTGGGCCATGTACATCAGGAATTAGTGCTGCACAAATGGGTATAATAATGAAGATAATAATAATGTGTTTCTGTTTCTTTTTCTTAAGCTTGTAGTGACAGGAGAAGAAATATGACTAGAGCCCAGGTAAACATTTATTTTATGAGTAATTTTCGCTTATATTATGTATCTCCCCTCAAACATTAACCAGAAGGAGGAAGATTTTAAGTATAATTAGTGTTAATAATTAGTCGATACTAGAGTACCACCTTGTACTTTAGAATTTTAAGCTTTTATCGTTTTAGACTTGTAAGTAGCTATATGATTTTACCTGGTGTATAATTCCTATTTATTTCCTAATTCATTAGTTATCTTATCTAATTATTTAGTCACGACCCCACAAGCGAAGCGTCGCTTTAAATACTTATCGTGTATAAATAAAGATTATTGATTGATTGATTGATGTTATGGTATTTATCAGAACAGGAATATCAACATAAGATCTTTTTGTAGTGAATGGATCGGTGAAGTACCATAATGATTAATCGTGAAATTTAATTTATCCTAGTACAAAACTTCTTTTACCTTAACCTGCCTGACAGTAGAGTAAGTCTACGTAAACAAGACACTATTCCTCTCACTAAAGGGCTTGCTCATGTTTGAGTATTCATTCGTCATTTTCCTTGTGACCGTTTCTCCTTCTGTTAGTGGGGCTAGAGTTGTGACAACGAGCATTCTTTGTCTGTTCGTCCATGCGACCCTCTCTCCTGCTGTAGGTGGGGCTAGAGTTGTGACAACGAGCATTCTTTGTCTGTTCGTCCATGCGACCCTCTCTCCTGCTGTAGATGAGGCTAGAGTTGTGACAACGAGCATTCTTTGTCTGTTCGTCCATGCGACCCTCTCTCCTGCTGTAGGTGGGGCTAGAGTTGTGACAACGAGCATTCTTTGTCTGTTCGTCCATGCGACCCTCTCTCCTGCTGTAGGTGGGGCTAGTGTTGTGACAAACGAGCATTCTTTGTCTGTTCGTCCTTGCGACCCTCTCTCCCGCTTTAGGTGGGGCTAGAGTTGTGAAAACGAGCATTCTTTGTCTGTTCGTCCTTGCGACCCTCTCTCCTGCTGTAGGTGAGGCTAGAGTTGTGACAACGAGCATTCTTTGTCTGTTCGTCCTTGCGACCCTCTCTCCCGCTTTAGGTGGGGCTAGAGTTGTGAAAACGAGCATTCTTTGTCTGTTCGTCCTTGCGACCCTCTCTCCTGCTGTAGGTGGGGCTAGAGTTGTGACAACGAGCATTCTTTGTCTGTTTGTCGTTGCGACCCTCTCTCCTGCTGTAGGTGGGGCTAGAGTTGTGACAACGAGCATTCTTTGTCTGTTTGTCATTGCGACCCTCTTTCCTGTTGTAGGTGGGGCTAGAGTTGTGACAACGAGCATTCTTTGTTTATTCGTCCTTGCGACCCTTTCTCCTGTCGCAGGTGGGGCTAGAGTTGTGACAACGAGCATTCTTTTACTGTTGGTTCTTTTGACCCTCTCTTCTTCCACACGTGGTGTAAGGCTTCTGACGATGGGTGCTGTTAGCTTGGCCTTATTATCAGTTATTTGTCCTTCGCAACGTTTTTTTAAAATCATTTACCCCTTTTTTGTTTTGTTTCAACTAGGGTAACCGTCTCAGAGCTGTTTTAATAAATTCTTAAATAACTTTCTTGTTTAATTGGAAGACATGGTTATAATTTTACAGCTGATGTGTGTACAATTGTCTTCATTTTTTGTGCTATTTTACAATGATTGTTATGCAAGTTGCAGATGTACTGTGGATTGCAAATACTGATCTATGGTTTATGCGGTACATTTAAGTAAATTTTTTTAATCTTCACTAGAAATTGCATGTCTCAGTTATAACTTAACTGTATTTAATGCGGTTAAAGTAGCTCAACCGATTAGAACCAAGACGTAAAATGTTCTAGCCCTTATTCAGTATGTGTATGTTTAGAAATTAAAAAAATAAAGAGCAGTTAATGAGGAGCTCTGTTTTAAGGAAAAAGCTTTAACATACAGACAAGAAGAGAAATGCAATTTCAACCATGTTTTCAGAAAATAAAACCAAATTTGGGAAAAGTTGATTTAATTAAACCTCTCTACATGCCCGTGATGGATGATGTTGATAGCAACATTCCATTCATTCTTAGAGACAGAATATTTTTAAACAAAAAAACACTTGTCTGTTGTAATCATATTTTACAATTATTCATCTGATGGTTCTTTTTTTCCTTGTTTTTAGGTTTAAGTGTTTTAGGTTTTTTGTGGAAGCACCAACTGCAGAACAAACTTATCGGGGTGTAAAGGAGAGGAATCTTAAGTTTGCCAGTAGTCACAATAAAGTGTTATATCTGCATGTTCTTGGTAACTACATTCTTTTCGTCCATCTTATATAATAGTGTTACACAACTGTTAAAAAGTTCTTAATAAAACATTCTGGTTTTTTCGGAGCGCGAGTTCACCGTTGTCAAAACCTATTAAACAGCCTGATGTATTATATTGAAGTTGGACTGAATAGGATTCACAAAAGGTACATCTAGGGAAGGCTTACTGACGTTCCTTTTTCGTTACCATTGTAGTTGCTGTTATTCTTGGTTGACA